ATCATATTAAAAACCAATTCAAATGAATGGAAAAATTAACTATGAAGAGCAAAACTTTACAGAACTTTTAGGGAGTAATATAGGAAAATATATTTCTGACCCAGGGAATAGCAGGATTTGTTTAATAAGACATTCTGTGTACTAACTAAGAAAGGTTTTAAAATTCAACTACAATAAAAATATCAAATATACCCATTAAAAGACACTAGTAAAGAAAAGAAAAATAAAAGCTACAGAGTGGGAGAAGACATTCACAATACAAAAGAGTACAAAAGTGCCCTGGCTGTGTTGCTCAGTGGATTGAGTGCCGGTCTGCGAACCAAAGGGTGGCCAGTTTGATTCCCAGTCAGGGCTCATGCCTGGTTTGCAGGCCAGGTCCCCAGCAGGCAACCACACAATGATGTTTCTCTCCCTCCCCTCCCCTAAAAATAAATGATTAAAATCTTTAAAAGACAAAATAGACAAAAGTTAAGAACTCCTGTAAATCAGTAAGAAATATTCCAAATGAAAATAAGCAAAAGACATCAACAGTAATTTCACAGAATATAGTCAATAAATATGAAAAGATGCTCAATCTTATTAGCAACTAGGAAAATGTAAATTAAAAGGACAACTAGAAACTATTTCATACTCAATAATGGGCATAATTTTATAAGTCTGACAATATTAAGTGTTGAAAAAAGAAAAATGAAAACTGTATTACTTTTGGGAGTGTATTTTAGTATAACTACTTTGTAAAACACTGTGGCATTACCTAATAAAGCTAAGGATGTACAGACCTCCACAACCCAACAACTATACTCTTAGGACCTCTACAGGAAACAGGCATAAGAATGTTCACAGCCAAAAAGGGGGAGGGGCAGAGTGGGGAGCGTGGGCTAAGTATCTACAGTAGAATAAATTATAGCATATTATTTATCAGAATACAACACAGCAATGAAACAAATAGACTACAATTGCATGCATAAAACATGGATGAATCATAAAAACATAAAGCTGAAAAGAAGTCATAGAAAATTACAGTCAGTACAATTCCATTTATATAAAGGTTAAAACACCTATAACAGATACATACATAACCCCAGAATCTGGCACATAATAGGTGCTCATCAACATCTGTTGAATAAAAGAAAAGTAAAGGAAGAGCTAACACACATTCAGGACAATAATAACCTTTGAGAGAAGGGATGAAGATGTTATGAAAAGGCACAAAGGAAACTTAAAATGTACAGAAAATCTATAATGAGATGTGATTGTGCCTAACTCCCAATAATCTCACCAACTGTTATTTGATAAAATTTTTGGAATTCTTCCAAACTGATAGGTGAAAACTACGTAGTTTCAATTTGCATTATTATTTTGCCTAAGGTTATCAACTCTATATTTTATAGCTATTTGTGTATCCTCTTATATGAATTATTAATATGCTGTATTCTTTTTCTCTGATTTCCAAAGTGCATATTTAAAAAAAGGTACTGAGAATGTTAGGTAATGAGTGTATAGTTATTCACTTTATTATTTCATTTAAAATGCATGTAGTTATTCTTGCCTATATTTCATGAATAAAAAATTTTACAAGTAAAAGAATCTGATATTCCCACAGTCCATTTTATTTTAAGGCAGATAAGTAATTCTTGGAAGAAATCCGGGAATTTTCATAATTATTGAAGTTCTAAATTTTTTATGAACTGGGACATCAATGCCTGAAAAAAAAGTACTGCTTAACCCATTAGGACATAAATTCTAAATTATTTAAAATAACTGTGTAAGAACTGCTCTTACACCTTTTTGTCCATAAATTTAATACACTTCAGATTTTTCTATTAAGTGACTTAAGAGAATACTTTCAATTGCGTGGACTAGCCATTGTGTAGTTTTTAAATTGGCCTTTTTATCCTAACTCTTCAAATACCTACCCTTCACACATATTCCTTAAATAACAAAATAGGATTTCTAAAAATTATCTTGTTGGGCCAAAATAATCAAAATCATTATCAAAACTTCAGTATCTGTATTTCAGAGGTAGCCAAGAAAATAGGGGGGAAAAAAGCATTCCTTTTTTCAATTTTAAGACAAAATGGATCTCAGAGGCAGTTCATTCGCATTGTTTCTTTCATATATATCACAGTGCTAATTTAAATATTTCATTCCATTCCCTCCCCTTTTTTGTACAAAAAGTACAACTATGTGGCTATTAAAACTGATTAAAAATTATTTTAAGTTTCACCTTCCTAAGAATATAAAGCTACCATTCAAAAAGGAACATTTTATTCCTGAAACTGCTTTGTAAAACCAATCCTGTTTTTACCCTCTTTAACTTTTGAAAGAAGGCAGAAAGGGCCCTGATTTTCTTTCATTTCTAAAAGGTCCTTGCTCTTCTGTACTGGATCACCTAAAGAGAAAGTGGCACTGCCAGAAAAACAGACTCTCATAGAAGAAAAAAGGGCTGTATATAGGTATTTACCATAAAACAAACTAAAGTTTAATGAAAAGGCATTTATCCACAGGCATGACCAAAGTGGAGCTAATGCTGGAGAGGCAGAGCTAGTGCCTCATCTAAAAGACTAGAGGTCTAAGAAGAGATTTTAACAACTGTAAGTCAGTAGACAAAAGGGCACTAGGATCAAAGTCCAGACAAAGACAGTACAATGGTCTCCGCCTTATTACAGCTTCAGTGACATGCTGGTAAACTGAGGTCCAAAAATATGAAACGGAAAATTCTAGAAATAAACAATTCATAAGTTTTAGATTGCATATCAGCTAAGTAGCATGATGGTATCTCGTGCCATCTCATCCTGATCATGAATCATCCCTTTGTCCAGTGTATCCACAGTGCATACGCTGCCTGCCTGTTAGTAGCTGTCTCAGTTATCACATCAGCTGTTGAGGTATCATAGTGTTTGTGTTCAAGAAACTCTTGTTTTACTTACAAATGGCCCCAATACACAAGAGTAGTGCTCCTTAAAACGTGGATATGCCCGAGAGAAGCCATAAAGTGCTTCCATTAAGTGAAAAGGTAAGTACAACACAATAAAGCATTTTGAGAGAGACTACATTCATATATCTTTTATTGCAGTATTTTTAGAATTGTTCTATTTTATTGTTAGTCGTTAATCTCTTACTGTGCCTAATTTGGAAAGTAAACTTTATCACAGGAAAGTATGTATAGGAAAAACTATATATAAAGGTTAATATTATCATTGGTTTCAAGCTTCCAAAGGCTACCGTAGTTGAGAAGACTAACATTTTAACCAGTAAAACAGAATGAAGGACTAAGAAGATAATAGATATTCAGAATGATGCATTCAGTTGATACTTAATATAAGTTTTCTGGGAACATGTCCATATATAAGATAGAATGGAATAGAGTTATGAAATGGTAATATAATACATGCTTTTTCAAGAATGTTAAACACAGTACAAAAGGTCAGTCCACTGGGTTCAAGAGTAAATTATTCATCTATCACTGATGTGTTCTCTATCAATATTAAAAGGAGGAAAATGGCTGTTCTGATTGATGTTAGAAGAAACAATGGTTATTCTTGGAGATAAAAATAATTTATTATAATCAGTAAAAAGTATGACTTTTATACTTCATAAATCTAAGATTTAAAAAGTTACAACATTTTCATAATTATTTTTAGAGAAGATCAGACCTGTTTCTACTCCAACTCTAGCTGGAGGGCTGTTTCAACAACATAAAAATAAGATATAGCATATACAGAATTAGGTAAAATATCCCAGCAGTTAAATTTCACATGCCTTGGGTTAATTCTCAAGAAAATATTTTTCCACTTCATACATAACTTAAACAATCCTACAGAGAAACTGAGAAAACGACAACCATTGATATAATTATCCCATTTACAAAGGGTTAACTATATAAGGAAGCCTAATACCATTTCTGTCATTTCAACCAATTAATGTCAGCATTCTTTCCACTCTTATTCAAGTTAATTTCTAATGCTCCATTACATGAATAAGCAAGAACAAACAAAACATGTTCATGGACACTCAATCTTTGAAGGAGGAAAATACATAAAAAGTGTATACTCTATATGGCTTTGATTAATGTTCATTCCTCACATGCATATAATGAAATGTTTCACGAATACTGCTGTCATTGGGAAGGGGAGAGGGGAGACTGGATGAAAGAAGGTGAAGGTGTTAGCCAAAGAGCATTTATGAGTGTCCCATGGACATGGACTATGGTACGGGGATTGCCTGAGGGAGGCAGGCGGCCGAGTAGATGCGGGCAAAAGGGAAAAAAGTGGGTACAACTATAATAGAAAAAACAATAAAATACAATTTTAAAGACAGAAAAATTTTAACCAATACAGTACATCTATATTTAGTCCTCTGATTTTAAAATAAACCCTTTTATGCTATGAGAAAATTATACAAATTTCAGTATTTATGTCACTATAAATGGAGTATGACTTTTACCCCAGACTAATTGATGTTAAGATTATCAGAGGAGTGAGCATGCATTTTGAACTAAAACATTTTATTTAGAATAATTATACTTCCTGGGTATAGTTCATTTTTACTGTTATAATGTTTTCTCTCATAAGATCATATATTTAATTTGTCAATGCTATTTTATCTACTCTATCAGGACCTGACATGAGCTATTCTAACTAAGGTTAAGGTTTACTTTATTATGTCGTTCTTTAAAAAAAAAAAAGGACAACAGAAAAACTAGCGTTAATTTGAAATGCCTCTTTTAAGACATTTTAGCGTTATAGAGAAAGTTAAAGGTAAAATATAAAAACAAAACAAAACATTTCCCCATAAAAGTTTGTTAAAACAATGGCAGCACGCTGAAATCCTGAAGCTCAATTCAATATCAAAGAACCACTTTTCTTTCAAGAGACAGTATAATCACATTTTCAAAACTACACTAAAACCTGACCTATACTGTAATTTAAATCATCTTTAAAAGACTCAGAATATCTCAATACTAAATGTTAGTGCTACATTTTTAAAATATCACTCACCTTTCAAACCTAGAGTTTGTAGCTGGAAGAGCCGACCAAGTTCATAAGGCAAAACCCGTAACAGATTGTTATTTAAAAGCAATTCCCTGTTTTAAAAAAAAAAAAAATTGCTTTAGTTGCATTTATCAAATTTTATTAATATCAACAATTTTCTTAACCTTCCCTCTAACATACCTTGAGTGATGTTTACATTCAAAGCACATTTCTATATGCTTATCTAAAACTGTTATGTAATATTAAAGTGCTACAAAATGTGTAACTGACACAACTGTTAACAGTGTTTCTATAATTTACTCTCATTGTCAAGCACAGATTATTAATGGTGTAGGAATTGTGTTATCATTTTCAGGGTAAATCTACCCTTCCTCTCTTATCCAAATGCCTATCACATCAGAGTGACAGATATTCTTAGGGTCCAAAAACTACAGATGTCCTTGAACCTAGGCTAAATAATATAAAAAAGTAAATTTTTTAAAGTTCAGAATTTAACTATAATTATTAGCCAATCACCTGTATCAATTTTTACAACTGAATACAAATATATTACATCAAGATACTATGATGAACAATCACTGACATAGAACATAAACATGAAAAATAAAACATAAGATAGTATAGCCCTGGCTGGTATTGCTCAGTAGGTTGGAGCATTGTCCCATAGACTGAAAGGTTGCAGGTTTGATTCCTCATCAGGGCACATACCCAGGTTTTCAGGTTTGATACTCAGTCTGGACTGGTACAAGAAGGCAACCAAACAATAATCTCTCTTTACAATAATCTCTCTTTCTCTCCCCACCCTAACCCTTCTTCTCTCTCTAAAAAAATGAAAAAAAGTGTCCTCAGGTGAAAATTAAAAAAAAAAAAAAAAACTAAAAAAACATACAAATAATAAGACAGCATAGATAAGGTATGAGCTTATGATTGTAAAATTTTGCTCAGACTAGAAAAAATAAACAGCTTTCTTATTAGATGACTAAAAAGTATCAATAAAAAGAAAAATAACAAAAACATACAGTAAAGAGATGAGAAATAAGATTCTAAAACAGTATGTTTTAGAAGTTTAATTTTAAACATGACAAAAAATTTTTAAAATTATTACTCAGCATATAAACAATATAGAAAAGCAATCTTGTTTGTATTGGAAACATTTATAAAAGGTCTTAAGATTGTCACAAAAACTTCTCCTATGAAGAAACTCTTAAAGAACCCTGAAGGACTAGAAATAAATCCACTTACAAGGTTTTAAGATTTCCTTAAGAAGTTACATATAAGTATTATATAAAACAGAGAAATGTTCCTAAAAGTCTTGCTAATAAGCATATTATATTTTCCTAATCATTGCTGATTAGTCTTATGATCATACAGTTGAGTCTGAAGTCAGACTTAGTATTTTACACTAGTTCCACCCCACCGCAAGTCTATCAAAAGTACTTGGTAATACAAGCACACTTCTACCACAAACCTCCAAATTTAAAAGAAGAAAAAGAAATGTCAAGGGAGGCCAACTCAAACACTATGCCTAGACAATTTATATCACCTGATCTTGGAAACACATATGGAGACCCTACTGTAAGATGAGTAACATCTCGTAATTTTTTTATTTGGTAAATTTAGAATTTCATGTAAGTTATATCTACATTTCCTCACCTGAGAGACACCATGTTTCCTAGTTCTGCTGGTAAACTTCTGAGTTTATTGGATGACAGATCCAGGTAAACCAGATTATGAAGCTTGGCAATATCAGGTGGAATGCGACTAAGGTAATTGTCATTTAGGTGCAGCGCTGTCAAGTGTGTCAATGACCAAAGTGAAGTACTTAAGCTCCGCACTCTACCTAAAAGGCAAAATATCGAAGCATTAAACTCTAGGCCCAAGACAAAGACTGGAACTACAAGAACTAAAAAGTGGTAGAAGAGCTTGCAAATATATACAGATATTGTATCTTTGGTATTTTAGTTTTGTATTTAATACCATTTGACTGCTTCCAACACACCTGGCCCTTCTTCAATTTCAGGCCACTTTCACCTGACAACCATTCTTTCTCACAGACTCTTCGTGTATTAAATAAGATATGGCATAATTAAAAGAATCAAGGTTATCATATGTCTCGGGGAGAAAGCATGGGCTAAATTGAGCTTTTGTGGTAGGACATCATGAATTTACTTTGAGTCATAGTCCTAACAAAAGTATTTTTTATACACTCCATAAAAATTAACAGTGCAAGATTTATCCACCATCTAGGGCCTAGATTAGCCTACAAACTTAATAGGCAAGAGTAATTACTACGATACAGAACCAACCTTAGATTAGCCACCAGGAAAACCATTTTACCCCCAAAATAGACATCTTCCCCAGCTATCTGATGTTACAATTATACATTAACTCTGGCTTAGTATTTTCCATTAAGTAAACATACTGAAGGAAATAGTCACACATTAAGTTTTACAAATCAGCTATAGTGGAACACATACTAAAAAGTCAGAAGACATGGTTCAGAGTCCTGATTTTTACCATGTATTAGCTATGCAAGCCTAGGCAAATCACTGAGCCTCGGCTTCTATAAAATGTGATATTATCTTAATAACGTACATAAAAATTATTTTATAAACTTTATTTTTTCTCTAAGTTTTTTAAATTGTTGACTATAAATAAAAAATAAAATGAAGTAAAAAATAAAAAGTCAGAGATCTTACAAAGACTATACCATGAGATTACTTTAAATGCTTAATGCAGTTTCTACACTCTTAAGAGATTTGAATTCAAGTCGCAGTTTCACCATATACTACCTGACTGAGAGTGTGAGTTACTTAAACACTCTAACCTATGGTTTCCTCACTTGTAAATGTCAATAATAATTATCATTATACCTATATCCATTGGATTGTTTCAAGAAACATTAAAATAATGCAAGTAAAATGCTTAACCCATCAAAAAATATTATTTCGCAAACTTTACAATAGTAAAATGGTATTTTAATTACATATCACTTCAAACAATTGATTCTGATTTAAAAGCAGTAGAAGGTAGAGAGGGTACAAAATTTCAAAAGGGAAGTGTTACTTTTCACGTAGTTCTTGAGCAATAAATTCAAACTTAGATCTTCTGTCCAGGGTTCTTTCTACCACAGGTTCCTTCATGCTATCTACAATATAATTAAGCTTAAAATGCCAACTAGGATTTTGCACTTTAATAGGAAAACAAAGTTTTCAAGAGAAACTTATTCCAGTTTTACCCAGGGTTTAAGTGAGTGGTTCTCAACCATGAGCAGTTTTGCTCCCCAAGGGACTCTGGCAATCTGGACACATTTTAGGTTGTCAAACTGGAGGTGTACTACTGGCATCTAGTGGGTAGAGGCCAGAAATGCTGCTAAACATCCTACAGTGCACAGCAACAGCCCACAGCTACAAAGGATTGTCTGGCCCTAAGTAGAGTACCAACTTGAGAAACCCTAGGCTAATCTAACATTTATATTTATTCTTTTGATTATCCATCACCTAACCACCCAGTTACCTTTTTAGCTAACTGTACAGGTAATTCTTGCTATTGACAATATAATGTGGGTTTAACTCTTCCAAATGAAAGCCTACTGGGGAAAAAACTACTTTCTCTATATATAATTGTATTGTATCAATTCACAAAAGATAAACAGCATTCATATTTTATTTTTAATATTCTACTAATATTCTATGATACTAACAGAATAAGTATCATATTCTACTTTTAACTTTGTAATCATTTTAGATATGTGGAAAAGTTAACCAAGATAAGAGAGTCCCTGTATACCCCTCATCCAATTTCTCCTAATATTAATATCTTATATTACCATGGTACATTTGTCAAAACTAGAACTAACACTGGTAAATTACCATTAACTAATTTAATTTGGATTTCACCCATTTTTACAATTTCATGTTCCAAGATTCAATTTAAAATAACATTTTGCATTTAGTTGTTCTGTATCCTTAGTCTGGTCTATGACAGTTTCTTGGTCTTTCCTTGTTTTTCTGACATTGAGTATTTTGAGGACTACTAATTAGGTATTTTGCAGAGTGTCCATGAGTTGAGTTTGTCTTATGTTTCTCACTATTAGGCTGTTATGAGTTTTTAGAAATCATATTCAATTTTACCAAATCCTAAATATGTAAGGTCATATAACAGTTATCACATTTGTTGGAATAAACAGATAGCCTCTAACTTTCCTACTCCACCAACAGAGTGATGATAGAGGGGCAATAAAGGTTTCAACTTACAAAAACAATTACTCTGCAATAGCCAAAGCAAAATCTACTAGGTCAAAAAACCTGATTTTAGCCCTGACCAGTGTAGCTCAGTTGGTTGGAAGTTATCCTGCAAAGCAAAAGGTCACTGGTTTGATTCCCAGTCCGGGCACATGCCTGGGTTGTGAGCCCAGTCTCTAGTCAGGGCATGAGTGAGAGGCCACCGATTGATGTTTCTCTTTCACATCTCCCTCACATCAGTGTTTCTCTTCCTCTCTTTCTCTCTCCCTTCCTCTAGCTCTAAGAATAAACAAATAAAAACCTAAAAAAATTTTTTTTTTTACTTAGAAAATGAACTCCCAATGTCTTCAATTCCAGATGCCAACTCCGGATCAAGGTATTATTCCCAAAAGAATATGAACAAATATACTTAGTTATAGATAAAACAGATAAACATTAATATTTCAGTATATTCTCTTGAGTGTTTCATCTAATTAAAAATGAACAAAATAATAAATATAACAATACATTTGTTCATTATACCCTGAATTAAATGCTTCAGATTCCACTCACCCGAGATTTCTAATTCTGCCCAGTGAGATTTTTTCCCATTGGCTACCTCCTCTGCTGACATGATGGTATAAATTTTGCGAGGATCTGGAGGATCATATTTTTCCTTTGGCATCCCTATTAGTCTGTGGGGAAAAAAAAAATCATTAGAGTCTTATCGGAAAAAAAGGGGGAAATGGGATAGTAAGTTTTCTTTTTTTGTCTCCCCCCTGCCAGGCTATTAAGTCATTTTATATCACAAATTCTCACTAAAAGAAGAACACATCTGCAGTATGCTGTGTTCTTGCAAAAAATCAGTAAAAGATTCGCAGGGGAAAATTCAAACAAGAAATGACACTAGACTTCACAATGAACATTGGGGTTGCTTCCCAAACATTCATTCCACCCATCACCTTCCATTTAGCTGCCTTGCTTTCCAAGACAGACTGGCCCTACACCAGTTTTCTGAATGGGCTCCAACTAGTATAAGAGAATAGGGTAACCCTATCTTTCTTGTCTCAGTGATATTCAGATATCCCACATCCAAGCCAACCAGCACATGACATTCCCCTAGTCACATAAATTAATTCAGAAGTATCTAACAATCACGAGGCTTAAAACTATTCTGTGTTTATGGGAGAGGCAGGTCCCTCTCTCCTGCTGATCACAAATGAAGGAGAATATAGCCCAAATTGCTGTTGGCAGCCATCCAACAACTGTAAGGGAAACCAGCCATAAAGTCAGAGTATAGAAAATACAGGAAGAAAGCCAGATTCCTCATCAATCCAGGGCTGTAATACTCCCAAACACTGGGGTTTTTTGCATATGGAAGCCAATACATTTTGCTTATTGTTTGTACTAGCTTGAGTTGTGTTTTCTGTTACTTGCAATCAAAAGCTTACTAATTAGGATGATCATATATCTTGATTTGAATGGCCAGGCTTGGTTTGTATCTGTTGTTCTTAGATAATTATTAATATCAGCCCTTTTCAGTCATCAAAGTGTTAGATTTGGATGATGAGTTACATGGCCACCGTCATTGAAACTAATATCATACAGTCTTTGTGTAACTAACAAAATAATCACTGCACAATCAAAAGTGATGACCAACTAGGCATAAAACTCCTCTAGTGTGCATGTGTGAAACAGATAACAAATGGCTCTTAAAGTAAGCATTAAAGGGGTCCAATATAAGAATTACCAATTGATGACTGGTAGAAAATAAAACCCATTCCAGAGCTAACAAGGATAGTGACAAAATCCTGAACCGAATTAAACTCCTATAAGCTATCAGTACATTGCCTCATAGTATTTATAGTTGATTCTTTGCTCATATTTTAACATACACACACAAACACATATACACCAAACCAAGTGTCTAAATCTGGGAGTGTTTCTAAGTAGAGTTCAGAATTTATATCTCAGTGGAAGAGTTGCTTTCAGGTGGTCTGAAATTTGTTACGCACAGAGAAAAAAATTACAGATATTCTATCATGTTTCAAGAAAGCAAAGCTAGTATATAAGAGTACAATTAAAGTGTCCCATACCATAATTTGCTCCCTTACTTCTGTAGTTAAAATAGTCATTCTTTTCCTCTTACTAAAAGGAGCAAAGAGAAAGTTTTCCAGATTCATTCATCTTTTACAGTAATTACTTCCAAATTCCCAGGTTAAACCTTTCAGCTTTAATTTTATCATACAACTTGGGTGACGCTAAATCATATTTTATATTTTATTTATTTCATTTCATTTCATTTCATTTTATTTTATAACTATCCCAGATCTTCAAACAGCACAAAGAATACAACTGTTTTCCACATGGCAAAAACTTGATTTCTACCACATTCAGCCTATGTAAAATACCTCTGAAAATAAAATTTTTAGATAACAAGGTTTTCAGAATTTCTACTGTACACCATAAAGCATGTGTCTCTCTGGGGGTACTTCTGCATACTAATAAAGAGACTACAAAAATACAGGATCAAAGCCATGATCAAAGCTAAATCAAACCGATCCAAATTCAAAGACACGCTATATAAATCCATTACCTACAATGAGGATGAGTAAAAAACAATTACTACAAAATTTGCAAAAAAACATATATTTCATTAATTTTAGATCCTTCTTATAAAGCATAGGTTTAGAGGTCAATTTAATTTGGCTGTTTTTTCATGGGCTCTCCATACATGATATGTTTCTTAAGGTGACTGTGAGTTATTTCTGTGTGGAGGCATATCTTTTTTATATCTCTATATAGTTCCTTCTACACAGTAGGCATTTAATATGTATTTATGGAATGATCATGTCTTACAATCCTAAAATATACCACCTTCCACCCACCCTTCCCAATTAACAGTCAATGCTTTTCTAAAAATTAACATCAAGAAATGATAGTAAATCCACATGTTCAATTCCCCCTAAGTATTTTAAAAATCTCTTCTGGCCCTCTAATTCTAATCTTCCAACAGCTCCTATATAAAAGCACATTTTTAAAAAAAAAATTTCAAAGTTTCCATCTTTGTAAGTCCATTAAAATCTATGCAATGTTTCTACAAGATAGATCTATAAAATGTTTACCAATATCTATAATATGTAAAAACCAAAGTAATGTTAACATTGTCAAAAAAGGGGGTCAAAGGTCTCTTTTGGATTTGATTAGGAAGCCAATAAAAATACAAGTTACTTAATTATTCAAAATGAATCTAGATTTGGATTGGCTGATTGAAGCTAAAGCATTTATCACTTGGGTCAATTAAGTAATTTAGTAGAATCTATAGTTCCAGCAATCACTACTGTGCCAAACATTTGGTTTCCAAAATGCTACTAACAACTTGGGGGACTCAAATTTAGAAAACTGGTATTATTGACTCCTCCTATTCAGTTTTATTTTCCCTCTCAGTTCCTCAGCATCAACCCCCTTGGAGACGTATCACAAAAACCTATTTTAAAATAACTTAAAATATAAAATAAGCAAAGCTAATTTAAATCTCTAAATGTGACACTGATAATATGGTTTCTCATATATAGGTCATCCAAGGCTTAAATACTGAGTGATAGATCCACTTTTTTATCCAAGAAATTGAAATGTTTTATTTTGGAAAGCATTAACAGTTACTTCCTTTCCTATCTTCTTTTTCAAACTTATGAAAAATAAACAAGGTTTTTTCTTTACCATTTACGAAATACTTATTTAATATTGGATAAAAATATAATGCCTTACCTTTGATAAAAATAACTAAATAACTAGGAGGACATCAAAGCATTTCTTTTCTTCTCTGCTTTCCAGAATGAGATATATTTTTCTTTTCTTATTTATTTCAATTACAGTTTACATTCAATAATATTTTGTACTAGTTTCAGATATACACATAGGGTTAGACTATCATATTCTTTAAAAAGTGGTGCCCAATATTCCAAATACCCACTTGCCACTGTACATAGTTATTACAATATTATTGACTATGTCCCCTATGCTGTACTTTACATCCCTGTGACTATTTTGTAACTACCAATTTATACTTCTTCACCCCTTCACCTTTTACACCCAGCCTCCCAAAACCCTCTCCCCTTGGCAACCCCTGTCTGATATTTGTAACCATGAGTCTGAGTTTGTTTATTCATTTATTTGAAAGAAGCAGGGTTTTTAATTAGTTTTTCTAAGTTTCTAATTTCTACATCTTTCATCAGTTAACAAAGGGTCCTTCCATTACATCAACCTAATCTATACTGGGGATCCTGATCATATAAGAATATAATCTAAGAGCCTCTTCTCAACACAACCTTTTGAACTTCCCAGTCTTTGACCCTATTTCAACACTGTAAAAAGTACTCCTCACAGCCCCCTAAATACCACATAATCTTTGAATCTACTCCCCTTCATTCCTTGGACTTCCTAGAGTCTAGCACAAAATTTCTGGGAGTAATCATCACTCCTGAAAAAAACCTGATCATCTCCTACTTCTTAGTTCTTACACAAACTATTCTGAAAATAAACAAGTTTTAATCTCCATCGTTGAAGAAGCCCTGGAAAAATTTAAATTGGGAGTTTTCAAAACCAAAATAAAAGATAACTACATAACATGCTGTTTCAATGAATGGCATATTAAAAAATATATATGAAATACAGCCCAATATACTATTGAGAAAAAATCCTGAATCTCAGGTTTTATATCTGGAGCTAGGAAAATAATGCATCATAACTACCTCCCTCCACCATAAAAAATATAATAATAACCTTAGCCAAATCAGACCAAACTGTTAAAGGCTAGAACTAGATTCTCGATATTGGTCATCTGAAGCAGTTCATTTAAGAAAAAAACAGCAGGCTCTACAGTGCATATAAAGACAGAAGTTCTTATGGTGTTACACCACAGTTTCCCTCTCAGCACCCTGTCTATTTTCAGCACAATTCAAATTATTTCATTTTTAATTACTTTTACTAATTACTGTCTACAATTAACATCATTTTGTTATTAGTTTCAGGTATATAGTATAGTGGCTAGACAACCATATACTTTGCAAAGTGTTTCCCCCAATATTTCCAGTACCCACCATCCAAAGTTTTTACAATATGGGCTATATTCCTTCTGCTGTACTGTACATCCCCAAGACTATTTTGTAACTACCAAATTGTATTTCATAGTTCCTTCACCTATTTCACCCAGTCCTCCAAACCCGCCCCTCTGGCAACCATGAGCTCTGTTCTCTGTTTCTACAAGTCTGTTCTATTTTGTTTGTTTATGCTGTTCTTTAGATTTCACATATAAGTAAAATCACTTGGTATTTGTCTTTCTCTGACTTATTTCACTCAGCATAACACCCTCTAGGTCTGTCCAAACTGTCCAAATGGTAAGATTTCATACTTTTTTACAAATGATACTATTCCATTGTCTATATACCACAACATTTTTATCCATTTGTCTATTGATGGGCACTTCGGTTGCTTCCATATCTTGGCTATTGTAAATAATACTGCAATGAACATAGGGGTATGTGTATTACTTCATTTTAAATTCACACTAATAAAGAGAGGATGCTAAAATCAAAGAGTGATTCATTATGAATCAGAAACTTCCAACTCAATAAATCTAACCCTAAAGAACAAATCATTAGACATAGACTTATTTCCATAGAAATATTAAGTGACC